AGGCAGTGAGACTTCCCAGGGACCTTTCCAGTCTGTATGAAAGGTGTCATGGTCTTCTCCACAGCCTTCACCTCAGATGCAGACCATGGCTTTCTTACACGTTCTAGGGAGAGAAATAAAAATATATTAGCAATATACACTCCCAGGGTGAGGACCAAGCAGCCTGGCTGTAATCCCCCACCTGGTACACTTACCAGAAGGGGCACTGCCACTACCATGGGGTGCATCTGGATGAATGGTTGAAGGTTCTCCGCTTGAAGTTTCTTTTAGCCCGTCCGTTTGTGAGAGGATCTCTACTGCTCTCCCTGTCGCACAGAAAATAAAAATACAAGTGGCCTTTAGGGGAAAAAAATCATACATATTTTAATAATATCAAGAATTACCTTCAGGCTCAATTTGTATCTGGTCGAGGCTCTTTCCTTCGAATTCCGTCACTCTTCCCTGCTCCATGGCCATCAACACTTTGCTGATTTTGGCCAGCTCCAGTGTCCCCTCTGGTAGTCTGTAATATTGCCTGTGGATGCGAATGTCATGGCCGAGGAAGTTGGCAAGTATGTCCATCTCATTCTCTTTCATATTGAGAACTGTAGACATAGTAGCTATGTGCTTTCTAAGTTTGGTTGAGGATAGCATCTCTGGATGCACCGCACCACATTCTTTGGCTACCTGGCGTAGGGAGTCTGATCCCCTGATGTGGGTGTCTGCGCCCGGGCGGGAAAAGAAGTATGGGTTATGGTCAGAGATGGAACAGGCCCTTCTGTTCTCCACCAGCACCTCCATCGAAGCAATCATTTCAGGAGTCAAAAGAACCGGCACTTTCCGACTTCTTTTCCCTTTAATTTCAATGCGTTGAAAATGCTGACACAGCTTTTTCTCAAGTTGGGACAGTCCCAGAGCAATGTCAGAATGGATCCCAGTCTTACTTCTTAAGGTAAAGGCTGTCAGTGGCATCTTTGAAACCTCACCTTCCCTTCTTCGATTGAAAATGATGACCTCACAAAGAGTCAAAACTTGCCAGTTTAGACCAATGCTTGATTTTTATTTTTTGATACAGGTTACCTCAATATTTTTGGCTGTTTCCTCAGTCAGAGGGAGCAGGTCCGGAGTGTTCCACTTGGCTTGCCGGAGGGTCTGTAGGGCAGCAGAAGAAACACAGACGTCCCATAGATTATTTTTTTGTGATTAGATTAGATTTATGATTATTTGGCAATTGATTTAATTTGGTATTTTTGCATCTAATTTAGTTAATTATTTTGTTAATCATTATTGCTAAAGTTAATCATGGATTCAAGATTTAATATATATTTTTTATATTCTTTTCTCAGTCCTGGCCCAGGCTAGTTAAGGCACAGGTGTGCCAGGAGAAAGGCGTGGAGTGTGGAGTGGAGCCACACAGTTTTTTGACCTCCTCTCTCCCTTCCTTGTCTTTAAGTCATTTTTCTTTTTGTACAGTATGTATGTTTTGTGTGATTACTCAGTAAAGAGTTTTTTAATTGCATCTACTGTTCCATGGATTTATTCACACGCTTTATAGACAATGGATTATGGTTTGAGAGCGTCAACTACACGGCTTCACTGTTTGGACCCTATATTTAGTCAAAAAACTTGCTCCACGATGGATTAATGGACAAATGGACATGTTTGCTGAAATGTGTGAGTACAAGTTGGACTATGATCTTTCACTGTGGAACAGAGGATTTTAATGAAGAAACATCGGAAGTTTGATTGATCACTGCTAATCGGAACTATCCAAGCACCTGCGGCACAATTACGCATGGATTAAATGAATTAGAATACAAATATTTGTGGATATACTGGATTATTTTGTGGATTATTCGTACCCTTATATATTGTGGATTAATATTGTGCACAAAAGACAAGCAAAATGTCTGAGGGAGCAGAGCAGATTGGAGAGAAGCGGACAGTGATACTTACTGTACCGAGAAAGGAAAGGAGGATCATAAAACCAGGAATATGAACGCACGGAAACGCAAAGTCTCACAACTAGCGGCTATGATTAAACAAATGGATGAGCTGATGCAAAGTGACACAAATGCAGACATTGTCAAGAATAAATTGCGTGTTGATTATCATCGTTTGCATCAAGAATTCTGTGACATTAATGCTGTGCTGAAGAACTACATGGATGAGGAGGAATATGTGGACGATCAGAATAAATGGTTTGAGCCAAAGAACAAGTACCTCAATGACTATTTCTGGAGATGTGAGAATTGGATGATTAATGTTTTAAAACAAGGCGCTGTGGACAAAGATCTGTCGGGACCGGGCGCAACCGCACATGAGCCCACGCCCAAAACAGAGCATATCACGGGGCGTGCAACACAAGTTGATTTGGATGTAAGATCTACAACAAGCAGTAAACGCAGCAAGCATTCTCAATCAAGTAAGGCATCTTCTCGTTCTACGGCCTCAATGCGCATGAAAACAGCGATGGAGCGCGCGGCACTAAAAGTAAAAGCATCTGCCTTAAAAGAAAAGTTGGCAATTGAAAGAGAAGAAGCTGAGATACTTGCGCAGAAGAAACACAGAGAGGCTCAAGAAAAGCTGAAGTCAGTGGAATTTGAAATGGAGCAAAAACGGATTGAAACGCATATGAAAGCAAAGAAAGAAATGCACGAGATTCAAACTGCGCTGGCTGAGTCTGAGGCTAAAATGGAAGTGTTGGAAAAATACAACTCTCAAACTGTTAATGATCCGTTGGACTTTACTGATGATGAAGAGGAGAATGATGGACATATATTAAACATTCCAAATACGCAGCCGGTCCAGTTACTGTTGCCACCTGCTGGACATGGAGTGGATAACACGCAGAGCCAGCCACCCACTTTTCACTCATCTCAACATGTTTCACCTCCAACCAACAACAGAGACAATATTCAAATAGCCTTGGGTGTACCACCAAGATCCTCAACTGCACTCAACTTGGAGCTAGCAGAGGGACCAGCTTTTGACAGTTTGTGCAAAGCTTTGAGTCAACAGGCTACTGTCACAGACTATTTGGTAAAAAATCATAAAGCCACACTGCTTCCTGAATTGAGAATTTCTACTTTTAGTGGGGATCCTCTTGAATACTGGACATTTATCAGATCTATTGAACACAGCATAGAAGGACGCACAAGTGATGCACGTGACAGACTACACTTTCTGCTACAATACACAAGTGCACAGCCTCATGAGTTGGTAAAGAGCTGTATACATATGGAGCCAACTGCTGGTTATGACAAGGCAAAGCAATTATTAAAGGACTTTTTTGGAGATGAATATAAGATTGCAGAAGCATACATGAAAGAAGTAATGGACTGGCCAATAATCAGACCAGAGGATGGCACTGCACTACAATCTTTTTCATTGTTTTTAGCTGGATGTTGTAATGCTATGTCAAGCATCACATATCTGGAAGATTTGGACAATACCGCAAATATTAAAATGCTGGTTAGCAAGCTTCCTTATAAAATGAAAGAGGCTTGGAGGAAGTTTGCTTGTGATTTACAAGAGAGAACAAAAAAGAGAGTCAAGTTCAAGGATTTTGTGGATTTTACTTCAAAACAAGCCAAATACATGGTTCATCCCCTTTATGGAAATATAAAGGACACAAGCACCAGTGGATATGAATCTATGCACCAAAAGTTTAAACCACGTGCTCCAGATTCAACAAAACCAAAAAAGGTTTTCAGTACAGCTGTTGTTTCATCGTCTGTGGAGTATAATAAAATGAACATTTCCACCAATCAAAAAACATCAAACTTACCTGTGGATGCAAGTGGCAAACCCTGCGCTTATTGTAAGGGAGAAAATCACAGTCTGGCCAACTGTAGAAAGCTCAAAGTTAAATCCCACAAGGAGAAGATCTACGTCCTGCAGCGCAGAGGATTGTGTTTTGCCTGTTTGAAACATGGACATATGAGTAACAGTTGTAAAGAGAAGTCATCTTGTCAGGAATGTGCTGGACCGCATCCCACTTTACTGCACATAAACATTAAATCTAAAGAAGAAGAAAACATGAAGGATAGCAACGAGCAGCAAACCATTTCAAGTGGGTTGGTGCAGACTCTGGAAGCTCGTAGTCACACAGGGGCCGGTAGAGAAGACTGCACTCTTTCTATTGTTCCAGTGTGTGTTAAATCAGTTAAAGGAACTAAAGTAGTCATGACTTACGCTTTTCTGGATCCTGGAAGTACTGCTACTTTTGCTACTGAGACACTGATTAATGAGTTGAACATGAATGGACATAACACCAGTATTTTATTAAGGACAATGGGACAAGAATCTGTTGTTAATACTTGTATTGTGAATGGACTAGAAGTCAGCAGTCTGGATTGTGAACGCTTCGTACAGTTGTCAGAAGTTTACTCACAAAAGCTGATTCCAGTAAACAAAGAGAACATCCCCCGCCAAGAGGATGTGAATAAATGGCCGCATCTGAAACAAGTGAAAATCCCTGTTATTCAAGCTGAAATTGGATTGCTTATCGGAGCAAATGTTTCTCAAGCTATGGAACCACTTCAAGTGGTGAAAAGTGTGGATAATGGACCATACGCTGTGAGAACGTTACTCGGCTGGACAATAAACGGACCGCTCAGAGGCGGAGAGTCCAGGCAAACTGATACGACTAAAGTGTCGGTAAACAGGATTTCGGTTTCTAGATTGGAGGAACTCTGGCAGCTTCAATTTAAACAAGATTTTCCTGATGCTGGACTAACAGAAGAGCTTGAAATGTCAAAAGATGACCATCAATTTATTTCCATGATTTCACATTCTGCCGAGATGAAAGATGGACATTACAACATCTGTCTTCCAATCAAGGCAGAGCCACTGCATATGCCGAACAATAGATCAGTGGCAGAGCAACGTGCACTGAATCTGAAAAGAAGATTTTCCAGAGATGAACAATATCACAAAGAATATGTGGCATTTATGGATGGCATCTTGGAAAAAGGCTATGCAGTAGAAGTTCCACATCATGAAAATGAGAGAAAGAACAAAATTTGGTACTTACCTCACCATGGAGTCAGACATCCGGTGAAACAGAAGCTGCGTGTTGTCTTCGATTGCGGAGCTGGTTATGGTGGAACATCTCTGAATCAGGAACTGCTGCAAGGTCCAGACTTGACGAGTACTTTAATTGGAGTGCTTTTGAGATTCCGTCAAGAGACAATTGCCATGATGGCTGATGTGGAGGCTATGTTTTATCAAGTCCAAGTGAGTGAGTCAGACACAGACCTCCTCAGATTCCTCTGGTGGCCTCATGGTGATTACACACAAGAGCTGGTGGAGTACAAGATGAAAGTTCACATTTTTGGAGCTACTTCTTCACCAAGTGTAGCCACATTTGCAATGCAAAAATGTGCATCTGATTTTGGAAAGGAGTTTTCCCAAGAAGCTGAGAGAGCTGTCTTCAAGAATTTTTATGTGGATGATTTGATTAAGTCAACTGTGGATGAGGACAGTGCTATTCTGCTTGCATCTGATCTAACAAAGTTGCTGGCAAAAGGAGGCTTCAAGTTAACAAAGTGGTCTAGTAATAGCCGAAGATTGTTAAATACCATTCCAGCAAATGAAAGAGCCAATGGATTTCAAGATTTGGATTTGGATCAGGATTACTAACCAGTGGAGAGAGCTCTTGGAGTACAGTGGTGTGCGGAAACGGACAAGTTCATTTTTCAGATCAATCTAAGAGAGCGCCCACACACTAGAAGAGGATTACTTTCCCTGGTTAGTTCTATTTTTGATCCACTAGGTTTCCTCGCTCCAGTTATTTTGCCAGCCAAGAGACTTCTGCAGGAGATCTGTCGCCTGAAGTACTCTTGGGATGAAGAGCTCCCGGAGAGCATTGTTAAGAGCTGGACGAAGTGGATCGCTGGACTCAAGCATCTGGAGGGATTTGGAGTGGACAGGTGCGTTAAAACTAAACATTTTGATTCACATATCTCTGCGCAGATTCACCATTTTGCTGATGCGAGTGAAGATGCGTATGGCACGGCAAGCTATCTGGTGCTGCACAACTCCAAAGGTCAAGCGCAGTCCACTCTTCTTATGGCCAGAGCCAGAGTGGCACCGCTGAAAACTCCTACAATTCCACGGCTGGAGTTAACTGCTGCTACAGTTGCAGTTAAGATGGATAAGCTGCTGAGAAAGGAGCTGGAGTTGGATCTTGAAGATTCAGTTTTCTGGACTGATAGTACTGCTGTCATCAAATATCTGAACAGTGAAACGGCACGATTCAAGACATTTGTGGCTAATCGTGTGACAGCCATCCTGCAGCATTCACAACCGTCTCAATGGAGGTATGTTAGTTCCATCTCTAACCCTGCAGATTATGTTTCCAGGGGACTAACTACTGATGCCTTCCTGCGGTGTGAAAATTGGCTGTGTGGACCAGATTTCATTCTCCATTCTTCTGATCTGTGGCCCACAAATCCAGATCCTACAGTTTTGGTGGGTGAAGATTTGGAAGTGAAAAGAGTGGCTCAAATACACGCCATCCAATCACAAATGCTCAACACTGCGACAGACAAGGTAATGCTTCATTTCTCTTCTTGGATCAAGTTGAAGCGAGCTGTCGTCTGGTTTCTCAAGCTGAGAACGGTGCTGATGGAGCTGAGAGCCAAAAGAAAAGAGTTACAGATATTGAAGGATGAAAACAAGATGGACGTTTTCAAAAGGAGTTTTAAAGGAACGAAAATTACGTGTGCTGATTTGGATGAAGCAGAGCTGGAGATCGTGAAGTATGTTCAAAGGCAGTATTACCACGATGACATGATGATGCTGAAGGAACATCATAGAGTCAAAAGAAGTAGCCCACTACGCAAGCTCAATCCAGTGTTTCAGCATGAGGTGATGCGAGTGGGCGGAAGATTGAGTCGTTCGGCCATGCCTGCTGAGAAAACCACATGTTGGCAAAACTCAGAGAGAAGTTTTGGATCCCTGGAGCTAATGGAGCTATCCGGACGCTGCTATCAAAGTGCACGACCTGCAGAAGATTGCATGGTGCAGCTGGAAAACAGTTAATGGCTGACTTACCTGAGTGTCGGCTCCTTCCTGACGACCCGCCCTTTACCAGAGTTGGAATGGATTACTTTGGTCCTTTCCTGGTGCGGAGAGGGAGAGCCCATGTAAAGAGGTATGGAGTAATCTTCACATGTCTAGCTGTGAGAGCTGTCCACCTTGAAGTCGCACATTCTTTGGACACGGACGCATGTCTTAATGCCATCAGAAGATTTGTGGCTAGACGAGGACAAGTGAAGGAGATGTACTCTGATAATGGCACTAACCTAAGAGCAGCAGACACGGAACTGAAGCAAGCAGTGGATCAATGGAATACAAGCCAGATCGAAAGGAATCTACAGCAAAAGGGAATTTCATGGCATTTTAACCCCCCGGCTGGTTCGCATCATGGTGGAAGCTGGGAGAGGTTGATACGCTCAGTTAGGAAAATACTGAATGTGACAATGAAAGAGCAAATTTTGGATGAAGAAGGCCTACAGACTCTGTTATGTGAAGCAGAAGCGGTCCTTAATAGCAGACCCATCACCAGAGCTTCTTCAGATTTAAATGACTTGGAGGCCTTGACACCCAATCATCTTCTTTTGCTCAAAACCAAGCCGACGTTTCCCCTTGGTGTTTTCAATCAAGAAGATCAGTATGCCAGAAGAAAATGGAAGCAAGTCCAGTACCTGGCGGACATCTTCTGGAAACGCTGGTGTAAAGAATACCTCACACAGCTTCAAGAGCGCCAGAGGTGGTCCACTATTGGACGAAATCTTCAAGTTGGTGACGTGGTGTTGATCGTGGACGAAACATCTCCAAGGAGCTCATGGCCACTAGGAAAAGTGGTGGAGACTTTCCCAGACAAAAAGGGTCTCGTCCGTCAAGTGAAAGTCCGGACCAAAACCTCTGAGCTCTGTCGCCCTATCACCAAATTGTGTCTTCTCCTGGAAGCTGACACAGCATGAACTTTACATTTTTCATTTTTAGATATCTACATACTGTAGGCTCCCTTTAATGAATTAATCCATTTTAATAATTGTTATTGTAAACATGCTAACAATTAGGGGCCGGTAATGTTGGAGCCTAAATAGAAGTTTAGTTGTTTTGATTTTATTTTGATACATTTCTATTTTTTGTTTGTATTACTATTTGATTGATATAGATTATTTTTTTGTGATTAGATTAGATTTATGATTATTTGGCAATTGATTTAATTTGGTATATTTTGCATCTAATTTAGTTAATTATTTTGTTAATCATTATTGCTAAAGTTAATCATGGATTCGTTTTGATTTAATATATATTTTTTATATTTTTTCTCAGTCCTGGCCCAGGCTAGTTAAGGCACAGGTGTGCCAGGAGAAAGGGTTGGAGTGTGGAGTGGAGCCACACAGTTTTTTGACCTCCTCTCTCCCTTCCTTGTCTTTAAGTCATTTTTCTTTTTGTACAGTATGTGTGTTTTGTGTGATTACTCAGTAAAGAGTTTTTTAATTGCATCTACTGTTCCATGGATTTATTCACACGCTTTATAGACAATGGATTATGGTTTGAGAGCGTCAACTACACGGCTTCACTGTTTGGACCCTACAGTGTGAAACAGTGACTTTATTTTCATAAAAAGGCTTTTCTATCAAAGTGTGTTTTAGGAGGGTGTAAATGATGCTACAGAATACCCCTGCCTGGGCTCCTCGGGCAGTGCGTTCCACAGCCGAGGGGCCGTACAGAGAAGGCCCGGCCCCCTCTGCTCCTAAACCTGGAGAAAATGAAATGAAAACTTGGTCAAACTTTTTACTCAAGAAAAAGCCATGGTTGTTGCAGAGCCCAGACCCATTTACAGATCATGTCTGGGGAGGGGGAAGCCCGCTCAGTAGCAATGCTGAGCGTAATTTTACAAAAGGGTAAAAAAGGGTAAATTAAAAAAAACATACAAATTAGTGCAGGTTTAATTAAAATGGCAAAGTGCATATCTGAGAAGTTAAAATGTTAATGTATGTAAGTAAACTAGAACATATTAGAGTCCAGCTATTGGTTATGTTGTCTGGAGAGCAATAACAACACTTGAGACATGGATTTCTGAAGAACTTTCTGGTTTAAAGGGATTTTCCGATTCAAACATGACCGTTTTTCTCCAATGAGCCAACTTTCCAATTTTCTCATAAATCACACGGATACTAACAATAGCAACCATGAAATCCTTGTCATTGCTGGAAGTGGAAGTGGAGCTGTACATGTAAACATTCCCCTGGCCTGTCTGACCTGATGGCCCGGGTGAAGGGGTGAACTCTGGCTCGTCTCCTCAGCTGGGACAACATCAGCAGCACATCCACACTGTGAGAAAGAAGGACTTTGTTGATAAAAGATGTCTTTTGTAAAAATAAATGAATTTACACGAACAAAGCTGCAGTTTAGGAAAAGTAAGTCTTTTATTGTACGCACCACATTCCCTTCACACCATGAGCCCAAACCTGCACCACACCACTGTAAATGCTCACATCTCATAACTTATTCTTTGATAAATGGTATATGTTCGTTTTTTGTATGCACTTTTCACCCCGTTGTGTCTCCCATAAGTGTTATGGCCCTGAGCCAGCCATTCCACACACACTATGGGTAGAGGCAAAACTCATACAAATATTTGTCCATTCACTATTTCAGTGAAATATATATCAATTCCCCACTTCTGTTTGTCCAATAATTCAGTATTTTATCCTGTTTGTGGTTTACAACATGAAATCCAAAGAGTAACATCACATTTTTAGCAATAGTTTTTTTTTTTTTCAAACGCAATGCAAAAGAAAATACTATAAACAACAAACAAAATAAAAAAAGACACATAAATAGAACAAACTTCAAAAAAGGCTGGATGAAGCAGACGCATATTCTGCTCCAACCCTTCTCACTCATTCAACACAACCCACGACAAGACACAGGGCCAAACACACTCTGACCACACACCTCCCTCCCTGTGCTGAAGTCCTCACTCCTCCTTTTACAACCAGGAAGTAAAATTAAGAACTGAAGGTGCCAAACTAGAGAAATGTATCCGTTCCAGTGGGACCAAACCAGGTGAAATCACAACCGTCGAGATGTCTTATCCATAAACTTGGACCTGTTTCCCACGGGACACAGTGGCCCCACGTGTCCCAGGTTATGTATGTCCACACTGTTGTAGAATTATAATGTTGTATACTAATGATTTTAAGTAGGTGTTTGTATAACATGTCTTTGTGCAATATTAAGCCTGGATTTAGTGGAATTCAGACAAGCACCAAGGACAAGGCTTCTGTGATAAAAGTATCATTTTCAGGAACAGCGTGTCTCTCTTATCGGGACAAAGCCTGAGACACAAAACTGGACTAGGCCAGACTGGGACCAGCGTCAGACCATATGACGTCATCAGACATTCTGATAAAACTGTTGGGAGGACACATTGTGGGCAGTCGGAGCACAGGGATAGATTTAGGGAATAGCTCCAAGAGTTCTGTATCAACATTTAATTGTAAAGAGAAATAAATGTTCTATTGTAACTCTTGAAATCTTGGCCTTATTTCTGTACCAAATTCTGAACACGTCAGTCAAATCATTTTTGACAACAACACACAGGGACCCACCATCTTATTGTCATAGACTGCACGTCCAAGGTGTCATACGGACCAATGGAGACACCAGGCTCGGCCAAACCAATTCTTTAACCAATCAGGACGTGTTATTTCTGTTAATGGTTTGTTAAATATACCTCCACCTGCAGTTGTAAGAGGAACAAAGTCTTTGCGGCTGAAGAGTGACGCGGGGAGACTAGCCAGTTGTTTTCTGTCAAAGACTCTTATATCTGCTCTGCTGCACCTTCTGGGAGTCAAGAGGCTCCATTGTGAGAAGAAATGCACTTGAAGTGATTCAGGGAAGACAAGCTGACAGCCAGACGTGCAGACGGCACACGTTGGAGGAGCCTGTGTCCACATACAGACTGTTGTTCTGACTCTGTGGAGGTACTTACACAACATTCTCCTTTAGACAAGGGCCACAACACTGCAGGCTTCAGGGTTTCTATATTATGAGAATTATTATAATAATGCATCAGTTTTAGTACCGAGTACAGAGGAGTAATTCAGGACTTTGTGGACTGGTGTCAGCAGAACCACCTCCTCATCAACGCGGGGAAGACCAAGGAGATGGTGGAGGATTTTCGCAGACGTCGCAGTAAATTCTTAAATCATGTGCAATACTGCAACTTCAGAATGTCACTGAACAATGTCACTTTACCCTATCTACAGTACTTATCATCCTGCACTATATAACTGTACAGTATATAACTCTGCACTACTACTACACATACAGTGCCTTGCGAAATTATTCTTTCAACATGTCGCCACATTTCAGGCTTCAAACATAAATATATAAAATTTTAATTTTTTGTCACGAATCAACAACAAGTGGGACACAATCGTGAAGTGGAACAAAATTTATTGGATAATTTAAACTTTTTTAACAAATAAAAAACACAAGTGGGGCGTGCAATATTAAACGGCCCCTTTACTTTCAGTGCAGCAAACTCAGTCCAGAAGTTCAGTGAGGATCTTTGAATGATCCAATGTTGTCCTAAATGACTGATGATGATAAATAGAATGCACCTGTGTGTAATCAAGTCTCCGTATAAATGCACCTGCTCTTTGATAGTCTCAGGGTTCTGTTTAAAGCGCAGAGAGAACCATGAAGACAAAGGAACACACCAGGCAGGTCCGAGATAATGTTGTGGAGAAGTTTAAAGCCGGATTTGGATACAAAAAGATTAACATCTCAAGGAGCACTGTGCAAGCAATTATATTGAAATGGAAGGAGTATCAGACCACTGCAAATCTACCAAGACCCGGCATCCCTCCAAACTTTCATCTCAAACAAGGAGAAGACTGATCAGAGATGCAGGCAAGAGGCCCATGATCACTCTGGATGAACTGCAGATAACTACAGCTGAGGTGGGTCAGTCGTGCGCTGCACAAATCTGGCCTTTATGGAAGAGTGGCAAGAAGAAAGCCATTTCTCAAAGATATCCATAAAAAGTCTCGTTTAAAGTTTGCCACAAGCCACCTGGGAGACACACCAAACATGTGGAAGAAGGTGCTCTGGTCAGATGAAACCAAAATCGAACTTTTTGGCCACAATGCAAAACGATTTGTTTGGCGTAAAAGCAACACAGCTCATCACCCTGAACACACCATCCCCACTGTCAAACATGGTGGTGGCAGCATCATGCTTTGGGCCTGCTTTTCTTCAGCAGGGACAGGGAAGATGGCTAAATTTGATGGGAAGATGGATGGAGCCAAATACAGGACCATTCTGGAAGAAAACCTGTTGGAGTCTGCAAAAGACCTGAGACTGGGACGGAGATTTATCTTCCAACAGGACAATGATCCAAAACATAAAGCCAAATCTACAATGGAATGGTTCACAAATAGACGTATCCAGGTGTTAGAATGGCCAAGTCAAAGTCCAGACCTGAATCCAATCGAGAATCTGTGGAAAGAGCTGAAGACTGCTGTTCACAAACGCTCTCCATCCAACCTCACTGAGCTCGAGCTGTTTTTCAAGGAAAAATGGGCAAGAATTCTAGTCTCTCGATGTGCAAAACTGATAAAGACATACCCCAAGCGACTTGCAGCTGTAATTGCAGCAAAAGGTGGCGCTACAAAGTATTAGCGCAAGGGGGCCGAATAATATTGCACGCCCCACTTTTCAGTTTTTTATTTGTTAAAAAAGTTTAAATTATCCAATAAATGTCGTTCCACTTCACGATTGTGTCCCACTTGTTGCTGATTCTTGACAAAAAAATTGATTTTTTATATCTTTATGTTTGAAGCCTGAAATGTGGCGAAATGTTGAAAGGTTCAAGGGGGCCGTATACTTTCGCACTGTATATATATATATATATATATATTTTTGACTGGTATTGAAACATTTTTAGCATCTACAGCTAGTTATGTTAGCTAAGAAACATAGATAATACTTATTTGTATACATTGTGTGTGCTCCCTGTGTGCTTTTACTGCTGTCCTGTCTGTGCGCTGCAACATCGACATTTCCCCACTGTGGGACAAATAAAGGAACTCTTATCTTATCTTATATAGTGCATTTTTGGACACTTCACATGTAATTATGATTTCACTCCATACACGGTGGTGATAAACCCCCAGCTGCCCTGGGGCACACTGACAGACGCGAGGCAACCAGTCTGTGCCATCGGCTCCTCCGACCACCACCACCAACCATTCACACACACACCAGACTCATTCTAATGTGGCTGAAGTGTCTTGCCTGAGGACACAACGGCCTCCCCATGTTTAGTTTGGCACTTTACAGCCGCACCCGCCCCACTGTGGCTCCTGCTGTTCCCAGCGGTCTCCCATCGCAGTACTAGCCAGGTCCTGCCCTGCTTTGTTTCAGAGGTCTGATGGGATCTGACTTTTCACATACAGGTATTTTAAACATTATTCATAATATCAGTGCATGCTTTAAAACATGTGATATTATTTAAACAAAATTGGCCACTGGTTTTCACATTTTAATTTGATAAAGAAAAATCCTTTTATTGTGTGTTTGTTATTTTCAGTGTTTTGTAATATTATGCAGAAATATATTCTGCATTCGAAGTAACTCACTACTATTACTCATTATGAAAGTAAAAATTGTAATTTACGATCAAAGTAGCTCAAGTTACATGCATTCTTTGCTTTGTTTTCTGACCGTCTGCAATTATTTAAGGAAAAAACAATGAACATTGTTTTGTACTTTTGTGTTTGAAGCAGAAATGACAGAGTGTAAGTGTTGTTATATGGGTTTCTTATAAAAGTTTATTTTGATTTTCTATTTATTTGGTTTAGAATAGTTTTGTAAATGACATTAGTAATATTTTTGTTTTCTCCAAAAGAAAGTATTTGTTATTACACCTTTATACATTGGTTTTATTTCGTAATTTTGTTATAGCGAGAATCTGCGAGAACTGGGGATTACAAGAGGCCCTCAGGTAGACAGGCAGACTCGTGCTCAAAGGCATCAGAGCGAGAGCCACTTTCACAGTGAGGCCGACATGACAGGCGGCCACGAGGTAGCTTATTTTAAGTTTCGTTTTTGTAAAGTATACAAGAAGTCGTGTTTAATGGCATATTTTATTTTGTCCTGTAGTTTTCACGGCATTGAAAGACATTTATGACACTTGTCAGGTCAATAAATGAGCCCGTACTCGAGAATCCATGTGCAGCGTTGTCATTGAGGAGCTACAGAGAGAGTCTGATCTCTTTGTATATCAATAAAAATACATGAAACAAAATACATCCATTCTCAACAAAAAAACATTGAGTGAGTAAAATCTTCTCGTCTTGTGTGATCCTGCAAACGCATGAACGTGAGTGCTTTCCAAATCGCTCTGACCCAAGAGTGACGTTTATTTTTGGGGGAGGCTGTGTATTTTCTCTCCCCCCATGATCCCAAACCTGTCAAAACACTCCCCTCTGCGTGTGTGCGAGACCTCGGCCTTCGCTTGTATATTTTATTGGGATTTTGCGAATGTTCAAGTGCACGTGTGTTTTCCCCCTCGGCTCTATCTTTCTAAAACATTAAATCTTGTAGCATTTACTGGAACTCCACGTTAGGGAATTTATAACATGCTCAATATTTAAAATAGATCTGAAAAACTGGTTAATTACACAACAGACAAGCGACCATTAGTGTAGGCCTTTGCCAGAACCACTGCTGCACTGGAAAAAAAGAACAAAAAATAGATGAAAAAAGTAAAATGCTACTTCAAATAATAAAAAAGTGATCTGCCGATAGAATGAGAAAATATGACATGATTTCTGAAAATAAGAAAATAATACTAGCCCCAAATGACGTGATTCTAGTGTAAAAACATAAATTTCAAGTATTATCTTCTCATTTATTTATGAATAAATAAATAAATGACCCATTTGGGGCGACAGTAGTTCAGTTGGTAGAGCATTGGCCTTTGAGCCAGAAGGTCATGGGTTCAAGCCCGACCTTCACCATCGACTCCCACTGATGTCTGCTGTCATTGTGTCCTTGGCAAGACACTTAACCTCTGGGAACACCTGCCACAGTGGGGCGGCTGCGGCTGTAAAGTGCTAAACTGCTGTTGTGTCCTTAGGCAAGACACTTCACCCCCATTGCCTAGAATGAGTCTGGTGTGTGTGTGAATGGTTGGTGGTGGTGGGAGGGGCCGATGTCACAGACTGGTTGCCTCGCTTCTGTCAGTGTGCCCCAGGGCAGCTGTGGCTACCACCGTGTTTGGAGTGAAAGAATAATGACATGTGAAGCATCTTTGAGTGTCCAGAAAAGCGCTGTATAAAACTGATGCATTATTATTATTATTACACACATGGCATAAATAATAAGATTATGAAGTATTATTGTCTTAAAACTAGTAAAATAATCGTATATGACAAACTAAATTCAAGATTTTTTTTTTTTTTTTTTTGTAAATTAATCTTACCAATATTTACTTTTTTCAGTGTAGTGTCTATCTCCTCTCCTCCTTCCTACTTTACCTGTTTTGCATTATTAGGATTTTGACTGTAGTTTGTTCATTGCTATTCACCCGTTGTCCCATTGTCTGTTTCATGGTACAATGACGGGATCTCTGAGCCTGGCCTCCTCCATCTACACCTGCGGACTGCCCCGCCCGACCCGCCTGGGAGTGCTTCAGTCCTGCACCGGACCTGTCCACGTTCAGCGGCCACTGGTCCACGTTCGGTAGCTTAGGTCCTGGATCATTAGTCTGTCCGTCTGTGTGGAGCAGATTGTGGGTCTCCCTGAGGTTTCTCACTTTTGAGTTTTTCCTCTGATGCAGGAGGGTCTGTTGGGCAGTTAGTGTCCAACTAGATGGACTGTGGTGATGATCCAGGACACTTTAACATTCTACAACATGTATGACATTTATCAACATGTGTTATGTATTCTTTTTGTGTTTTAACTGTTGATTCTCTGATCTGTGTTGGTGATTTCACTGGTTTTGTTAAGTCTCTGAGATGACTTCTGTTGTGATTTAGGGCTACACAAGAATAAATTGTATTATATTTTATTGTATCTCTGCTTTTTCTTATTGCTTTGTAAATATCTCTAGTTGTCTGTGAACTGTGTTTTTATCATGTGATGTATGTATTTCTTGCTCTCCGCTGTACTTAGAGTTTACTGCATTTTTTTTATGGTATGACTTATGTTATTAAATCATTAGGGAGAGTACTGTACACCGTTCCAGGGACTGCAGATGAAAAACAGCGTACTGGGCTAATTCCAATATCTGAACTCTGAACATTGTAAAGCGGCTTGATGACCTTGGTCTGTATAATTGTGCTATATACATAAACATTACTTACTTACTAATTCTGGTGCATTTACAGACACGTTTATTAATGCACAATGTCCCTGTCAAACAAACTAATAATAATGATAAAACAAATAATTACATAGTTCTCCTGGAAGTCCATAATTATATCATCTCGAAATGTTTAATACTTGTTTTCACGCTAGTAACTTTGCCCCTTTAGCAAAATGAATTATGAAGAGTATTGACAAGGTGGAGACCTATTGTGCGAACAGCTTAATAGCGTTTCGATTATGTTGTGTTTTTGTCAATGCGCAAACAAATCCATGTGAATTATAGACTCGTCAAGTTTTAGTCATTTCATGCATTCTGTGAAGTGGATGCCAGGGTCAGCCCGGTGTCACACAGGCGTCCCTCAGAGAGATCCATTTTTAGTGCTCAGGTTTTCTGGTGTGGAGACAGAGCTGCAAAAATAGAACAATGTGGGAAGAAGACAGGCGCATCGGCCCAGAGAGAAATCTGAAAGTGGTCTGTTAAATCAAATGTGGAATACTGCGTTTGATCATCAGCGTGTAACTTTATTTAGCAGCCGTTCAAATATATGCCGTAGACGAGTGTGTTGAGCGGAATTTGACAGTTTGGAGTTGTTTAAATCGTGCATACCATCTGGCAATGTTTTATTATTTCAATTTGTATTAATAATCCATCAGACAGCTGCTTGTGTTGGCTCTGTATTGCTGTTTAGAAGCCAGTTCATTACAGTCAGCGTACGGACAGCTGTCAATCACAGGTCTCGCCCTCGTTTCATCGCAGCATTTTCACTTTGGATTCAATGACATGAGATTCCAAGGCGAGAATTGACTTCTACAGATCCTAAAGATGTGTCTTTTTTTTCCGTCACATTACAGCTAGTAGCAGTTTTAATTTTTTTTCATTTTAGATGGATCTGGGTTTAGTCTATTGACTCATGACAGCATAGAAGGAGCAGCACGTTCATCGGCTGTAAAACCAAATCACAATGCTAGCTCTGCAACCGATACACGTGTAATCAGCTAAATACATGTTCAACGTTTAGTCAGTGTTGAAGTATTTCAGGAAAATGTCATGTTTAACTTTAATTTTGAGACACTGAGGCCTACAGGATTTCCCTGAGTCTGCAGGAAGATAGACAGGTGAGAGTGGCTACAGTTGATATAGACAATACAGAGGAGAGAGGATTTAGAGAAGAGAAGATATAGCGGAGAGAGGATATAGAGAGAGGAAAGACAGAAGAGTAGAAGAGAGAGGAAAGACAGGAGAGGAGAGGAGACGAGAGAGGATATACGATGTAGGTTAGAGGACGGAAGGCTGCAGCACAGAGGCTGGAGGACAGGGGCTGGAAGACAGAGGCTGGAGGATAGAGGCTGGAGGATAGAGGCTGGAGGACAGAGGCTGGAGGATAGAGGATAGAGGCTGGAGGATAGAGGATAGAGGACAGAGGCTGGAGGATAGAGGCTGGAGGACAGAGGCTGGAGGATAGAGGCTGGAGGACAGAGGCTGGAGGACAGAGGCTGGAGGACAGAGGCTGGAGGACAGAGGCTGGAGGATAGAGGATAGAGGATAGAGGCTGGAGAATAGAGGCTGGAGGACAGAGGCTGGAGGATAGAGGAAAGAGGATAGAGGCTGGAGGATAGAGGCTGGAGGACAGAGGCTGGAGGATAGAGGCTGGAGGACAGAGGCTGGAGGACAGAGGCTGGAGGACAGAGGCTGGAGGACAGAGGCTGGAGGACAGAGGCTGGAGGACAGAGGCTGGAGGACAGAGGCTGGAGGACAGAGGCTGGAGGACAGAGGCTGGAGGATAGAGGATAGAGGATAGAGGCTGGAGGATAGAGGCTGGAGGACAGAGGCTGGAGGACAGAGGCTGGAGGACAGAGGCTGGAGGACAGAGGCTGGAGGATAGAGGCTGGAGGACAGAGGCTGGAGGACAGAGGCTGGAGGATAGAGGCTGGAGGACAGAGGCTGGAGGACAGAGGCTGGAGGATAGAGGCTGGAGGACAGAGGCTGGAGGACAGAGGCTGGAGGATAGAGGATAGAGGATAGAGGCTGGAGGACAGAGGCTGGAGGATAGAGGCTGGAGGACAGAGGCTGGAGGATAGAGGCTGGAGGACAGAGGCTGGAGGACAGAGGCTGGAGGACAGAGGCTGGAGGACAGAGGCTGGAGGATAGAGGCTGGAGGACAGAGGCTGGAGGACAGAGGCTGGAGGATAGAGGCTGGAGGACAGAGGCTGGAGGACAGAGGCTGGAGGATAGAGGCTGGAGGACAGAGGCTGGAGGACAGAGGCTGGAGGATAGAGGATAGAGGATAGAGGCTGGAGGACAGAGGCTGGAGGATAGCGGCTAGGGGACAGAGGCTGGAGGATAGAGGCTGGAGGATAGAGGCTGGAGGATAGAGGCTGGAGGATAGAGGATAGAGGCTGGAGGATAGAGGCTGGAGGATAGAGGCTGGAGGACAGAGGCTGGAGGATAGAGGATAGAGGCTGGAGGACAGAGGCTGGAGGACAGAGGCTGGAGGACAGAGGCTGGAGGACAGAGGCTGGAGGACAGAGGCTGGAGGATAGAGGCTGGAGGATAGAGGCTGGAGGATAGAGGCTGGAGGATAGAGGCTGAAGGATAGAGGCTGGAGGACAGAGGCTGGAGGACAGAGGCTGGAGGATAGAGGCTGGAGGATAGAGGCTGGAGGATAGAGGCTGGAGGATAGAGGCTGGAGAATAGAGGCTGGAGGATAGAGGCTGGAGGATAGAGGCTGAAGGATAGAGGCTGGAGGACAGCGGCTGGAGGATAGAGGCTGGAGGATAGAGGATAGAGGCTGGAGGATAGAGGCTGGAGGATAGAGGCTGGAGGATAGAGGCTGAAGGATAGAGGCTGGAGGACAGAGGCTGGAGGATAGAGGATAGAGGATAGAGGCTGGAGGACAGAGGCTGGAGGAAAGAGGCTGGAGGACAGAGGCTGGAGGATAGAGGCTGGAGGATAGAGGCTGGTGGATAGAGGATAGAGGCTAGGGGACAGAGGCTGGAGGATAGAGGCTGGAGGATAGAGGCTGGAGGATAGAGGCTGGAGGAAAGAGGCTGGAGGATAGAGGGTGGAGGATAGAGGCTGGAGGATAGAGGCTGGAGGATAGAGGCTGGACAGAGGCTGGAGGATAGAGGCTGGAGGACAGAGGCTGGAGGATAGAGGCTGGAGGATAGAGGCTGGAGGATAGAGGCTGGAGGAAAGAGGCTGGAGGATAGAGGCTGGAGGATAGAGGCTGGAGGATAGAGGCTGGAGGATAGAGGCTGGACAGAGGCTGGAGGATAGAGGCTGGAGGACAGAGGCTGGAGGATAGAGGCTGGAGGATAGAGGCTGGAGGATAGAGGCTGGAGGATAGAGGCTGGAGGATAGAGGATAGAGGATAGAGGCTGGAGGATAGAGGCTGGAGGATAGAGGCTGGAGGACAGCGGCTGGAGGATAGAGGCTGGAGGATAGAGGCTGGAGGATAGAGGCCGGAGGATAGAGGCTGGAGGATAGAGGCTGGAGGATAGAGGCCGGAGGATAGAGGCTGGACAGAGGCTGGAGGACAGAGGCTGGAGGACAGAGGTTGGAGGACAGAGGCTGGAGGATAGAGGCTGGAGGATAGAGGCTGGAGGATAGAGGCTGGAGGATAGAGGATAGAGGATAGAGGCTGGAGGATAGAGGCTGGAGGATAGAGGCTGGAGGACAGAGGCTGGAGGACAGAGGCTGGAGGATAGAGGATAGAGGATAGAGGCTGAAGGACAGAGGCTGGAGGATAGAGGCTGGAGGATTGAGGCTGAAGTATAGAGGCTGGAGGACAGAGGCTGGAGGACAAAGGCTGGAGGACAGAGGCTGGAGGATAGAGGATAGAGGATAGAGGCTGGAGGACAGAGGCTGGAGGAAAGAGGCTGGAGGACAGAGTCTGGAGGATAGAGGCTGGAGGATAGAGGCTGGTGGATAGAGGATAGAGGCTAGGGGACAGAGGCTGGAGGATAGAGGCTGGAGGAAAGAGGCTGGAGGATAGAGGCTGGAGGATAGAGGCTGGAGGATAGAGGCTGGAGGATAGAGGCTGGACAGAGGCTGGAGGACAGAGGCTGGAGGACAGAAGCTGGGAGGACAGAGGCTGGAGGACAGAGGCTGGAGGATAGAGGCTGGAGGATAGAGGCTGGAGGATAGAGGCCGGAGGATAGAGGCTGGACAGAGGCTGGAGGACAGAGGCTGGAGGACAGAGGCTGGAGGACAGAGGCTGGAGGACAGAGGCTGGAGGATAGAGGCTGGAGGATAGAGGATAGAGGCTGGAGGATAGAGGCTGGAGGATAGAGGCTGGAGGATAGAGGCTGGAGGATAGAGGCTGGAGGATAGAGGCTGGAGGATAGAGGATAGAGGATAGAGGCTGGAGGATAGAGGCTGGAGGACAGAGGCTGGAGGACAGAGGCTGGAGGAGAGAGGCTGGAGGATAGAGGATAGAGGATAGAGGCTGGAGGACAGAGGATGGAGGATAGAGGCTGGAGGATTGAGGCTGAAGTATAGAGGCTGGAGGACAGAGGCTGGAGGACAGAGGCTGGAGGATAGAGGATAGAGGATAGAGGCTGGAGGATAGAGGCTGGAGGACAGATGCTGGAGGACAGAGGCTGGAGGATAGAGGATAGAGGCTGGAGGATAGAGGCTGGAGGATAGAGGCTGGAGGACAGATGCTGGAGGATAGAGGCTGGAGGACGGAGGCTGGAGGACAGAGGCTGGAGGATAGAGGCTGGAGGATAGAGGCTGGAGGACAGATGCTGGAGGACAGAGGCTGGAGGACAGAGGCTGGAGGATAGAGGATAGAGGCTGGAGGATAGAGGCTGTAGGACAGAGGCTGGAGGATAGAGGCTGGAGGATAGAGGCTGGAGGACAGATGCTGGAGGACAGAGGCTGGAGGACAGAGGCTGGAGGATAGAGGATAGAGGCTGGAGGATAGAGGCTGTAGGACAGAGGCTGGAGGATAGAGGCTGGAGGATAGAGGCTGGAGGACAGAGGCTGGAGGACAGAGGCTGGAGGATAGAGGCTGGAGGATAGAGGCTGGAGGACAGAGTCTGGAGGATAGAGGCTGGAGGATAGAGGATAGAGGCTGAAGGATAGAGGCTGGAGGATAGAGGCTGGAGGATAGAGGCTGGAGGACAGAGGCTGGAGGATAGAGGCTGGAGGATAGAGGATAGAGGACAGAGGCTGGAGGACAGAGGCTGGAGGATAGAGGCTGGAGGCTAGAGGCTGGAGGACACAGGCTGGAGGATAGAGGAAAGAGGCTGGAGGACACAGGCTGGAGGATAGAGGCTGGTTAAACATATTCAGCCCAGAATGCGTGATGGACACATAACTGGCTGTTCATCTGAAGGGAGCGCTGTGCTTTGATGTCACTGGCAGAGCTGTCAAACAGGACACACCAGCCTCATCACCGCTGCAGTTTCATCTGCTTCTAATGTCTGGGCTTTGAGCTCGGTGGCTGCTGAAATATGGAATGAGTCAGACAAGCTAATCAAATGCTCGTTATGCAACAGTAGAAGTGATATTCTAATACATGTTCTAAGGAAAATTACATTCCACGAAAGCCGATAGCTTCTGTGCATGTATTAGCTTCACCAATTGTGCTTCATTCGTCCCTCCTCAATTAGTGCCTCCATTTTAATCACTATGTTTGTATTTTGTTTCCAAGCCACGGGGAAATGTGATCGTCTTTCCGTGTGTGTGTGTGTGTGTGTGAATGTATGTGTATGTGTGTGGTGTGTTTGCATGTGTGTGCGCGTGTGTGTGTGTGTGTAGTGTGTTAGGATGTGTGTGTGTGCGTGTGTGTGTGTGTGTAGTGTGTTAGGATGTGTGTGTGTGAGTGTGTGTGTGTGTGTGTAGTGTGTTAGGATGTGTGTGTGTGTGAGTGTGTGTGTGTGTGCGTGTAGTGTGTTAGGATGTGTGTGTGTGAGTGTGTGTGTGTGTGTAGTGTGTTAGGATGTGTGTGTGTGAGTGTGTGTGTGTTTGTGATTGGTTTGTTAGGATGTAGTATGTGTGTTTGTGGTGTGTGTGTTTATGGTGCGTGTGTATGTGTGTGTGTGCGCGGCGTGTTAGAATGTGTGTGTGTTTGTGTGCAGCGTGTTAGGATGCGTGTGTATTTATTTGTGTTCTGTGTGTTTATGTGTGTGTATGTTTGAGGTGTGTGAGTGCGTGGTGCACATGTGTGTGTGTGTGTTTGTGGTCTGTGTGTTTATGGTGTGTGTGTGTGTGTGTGTGTGTGTGTCTGTCTGTTATAGTCTGAAGGCAGGATTATACAAAAACTACTAGACCTGGACAGAGTTTGATGAAATGTAAATGATTTTTGATGGTAGGAAAACCACATTAACATGAACAATCTGTGGTTTTGGCGGGGTATGGGCTCTCCGAGTGCGTGTTCTAGTTATAGTTGCCTTCATGGCTAACTCAGGAACATTCATGTTGGACAAAAAAACACATAAATACACATGTTTGCTTTTTGAATGCTTTTGCCCAAACCGAGTACCTACCATCATTGCTTCTTTTTCTGCTGGTGAGAATCTGTCTCCATGAAGATAACGTCAGTCTGACAGAAATGTTTTTATTACCCTGACTTTAAACGGCATTGAGAAGCTTACGCATGCTGTCAGAGATGTGGTAAATTCGTAAATTCAACATGGCATGTTATGGAGATCAAAGGAGGGGGGGAGTGCTGGAGACAACAAATACGTAAAAGCCATAGACCGTAAACATTTACTGACCTATCTCCGCAGTCTTTTTTAAAATGACTGCGAGTGGCCCCACAGGAAAATGTGAAAAAAACTTTTTTGCGCAAGCGTTAGCCGGCAAGAGCCCTATTCATTTAACTAATGCATTCAAAAGTCCACAGCGGCCAAACTAGACTGGTCCAAAATAAAAACTCCTCTCAGAATTGACAGCATCTGGAACGTACGCTGAGCCAAGAGCCAACTTTTAGACCAGGTCTGTAAAGCTGTTTTTCGAGAGGAAAAAAGGGGCCATAAGAATTCATTGGATAATTCTGTTTCCGGGTACACCCCCACCGGCAAGGAGTCAGATTACAAGCATGTCAGTGCAACTGCTCATAGACCCTTTCTAAGCCGGGACCTGCCCCCACTGACAAAAACAGTCTGTCCCTACTCAAGACGCTCCTCTGCCAGTCGCCACCACAGCGCCCCCCTTCCAAAAGTTTTGCATGGACTTCTGATGTTGTGTTTTGCCATAAAGCCTTCCAAACTTCTGTATAAGCGTCTATTGTTATACCATCAACCAGATCTGGTCCCTGCTCCAATATAAAAAAAACATCTTCCCCTGTGTTGCCATTACCAATCGCCCAGACTCTGTCCGAACCCGCCACACCGCCGCTGTGATTATTTTCCATCACAATCGATGCGCCCAGACTGTGCGCCTGCGTCTAATCCTTGTATTATTATCCAGCGCAACATTAGTCTAAATTTGGTTATGTCACTGCGCGTGGCCGGCTACATACACCAACAGATTTGTGAGTAATCTGGCTTCAGCGCAAGCACCCGCTGATCGACGCCGTTATTTATAGTCCCATTTGCATCACACAGGTCATTACAGTAATTAACCATAAGCTGCTCCAAATTATGCTTTATACTAATTACAAATCAAACCGTGAATACTGATCGAGTGGCCGTGTTGTCGAGGCGCGCAACTCTTCGTGCTGCATGTGTGACGGTGACGTGTTGTCGGGGGGGGGGGGGGGGGGGGGGGGGCGAATTTGAATTATCATAATGTTTGTTTTTGTCTGTTTAAGATCGCTGCTCAAGGGCACACTCAGGAACCGCAGACATTTCAGCGTGACTCAGTGATTAGAGCTTTCATATCAACTTCTGCTGTTTTGTCCTTGGGCAAGACGAAAAATACAATCGATTGAAAAGAGAGGAGAAAATTTGAATATATCGGATTAGGAGGTAAAGTAGCTACAGGAAGGATGTGCAAACAAAACTGTTGGTGATTTGAAATGGGCTGGTTATAAATAAATTTCTCAAATGAATTGTGATCTACAGACAGACAGCTGTGCTTAAAAACACATGCACATTCAACAAGCGCTGAGGCTCGTCTGCCCCATTTCCATATATAAGTGGGCCACGTCCAGGCAGCCAGCTGTACTAATGTGTGAGTGTGTGTGAGTGTGTGTGTGTGTGTGTGTGTGTGTGTGTGTGTGTGTGTGTGTGTGTGTGTGTGTGTGTGTGTGTGTGTGTGTGTGTGTGTGTGTGTGTGTGTGTGTGTGTGTGTGTGTGTGTGTGTGTGTGTGTGTTCGCAGCCATCTGCACAAACACAGACTGGGGCTGGAGTATCAGGCACTATTGCAGGCCAGGGCTCAGGGCCAACTAATACACTGTTGAGGCGTTGTGTGGAACATGTGGATATGTACAATCTATGATCGATATTCTCCAAATTTGTGAAGCGCTTTGTGGGACCTCGCTCTGTGAAATGTGAAAATGAATAAATACTAGCTAACAGTGTGTGTGTGAGTACAGGACAACTGAATATTCACAAAGGAATAGTTGTTTTGAAATAAAAGGTAAATCGCTGGACTGTAGTTTTCCACTGATGTCACTTCCTCATTGAAAAACACAGCGATACACTATGCATATTTTTATGTATTTATTTCAAACCTGTGAAAACAAAAAAGTAGTTAAACATGTTTTGAAGAGGGTGGACAAAGCAGCATGTTAAAATATTACATGATATAATAAGTGGGATGATCTGATATCACACAGTAAGTCCAGGGTTGTTTGTTACAGCCAACCAATCAGAAGTCATTGGAGTCAAGACATCAGGAGACAAGACATTTTTGTTGTTTTGTAGTTCGATGACGATATTCAGACAATCCATCAACATTGTGCCAAATCATGCTTCTAAATCAAGCATGTCCAACTTCTGGCCTGCGGACCATTCGTGACCCTCTGTGGGGTGTGATGTGGCCCTATGTCTGGCGAACCCAAAGTATCGTCCAACAACATGGACAGGCTGTACCTCAAAGCAGCCCCACTCTAAAAGTTTGGACACCCCTGTTCTAAAGGGTTCAGGATTTTCAATGAAATAACAAAAGTCAATTGTTAGATAAGTAAAGCAAGCCTGGTTGATTTCATATTATTCCAATATTGCACATCTTCAAAAGAAAGGTAAACTATAGAACTTTGGAGACTTTAATGAATTGTGCCCAGCAATGTACAATGCTTAAAAAAAGCAAAAACATTATGATGATGATGATGATGGAGATTGTTCTTATACTCGGTGCAAACAGTTGTAGAGTTTAAAGTGAAACATTTTCTGCTGACTTGTCAAGGCAAATCTGTTCAAAGCAAAATATCTTTATAATTGATGTAATTGTGACCCATCTAGAAACTGTTTTTGTGTCTCATAACAGTCAACCCTCTCTCATTGACTCATGCTTTTTGGGGACATACATTTTTGATAAAATTGCGAACAATTGCAAGTTATAGAGCACTCTGATCAATGCAACATCATCTCTCTGGACAGAAGCAGCATCACCAGAACGAGAAAATACAGTGCCTTCTGAAGCCGACATTTCACAAGTGTGGGCCTGTGTGTGTGTGTGTGTGTGTGTGTTTGTATTAATAACTGATTTTTGAGTCTAGAGATGGGTAAATAAATAGCCATTATGCAGGAGGAGAGAGGCGGAGAAGGGGTTAAATGTGGGCCAGGAGCCAGTCACAGTACAATGGTGGTGGTTTGTTCTCACAGCCCACTGCTTTTGCTCAGGCTGCTTTTGGAACCCAGAACTGTCTGTGAGTCACATCAGGGTTTAAAGAAGAGCAAGAGAACAATCAAACTGGAGGCATGTGTGACACAGTGCACAGTTCTGGGCATCAGCGAAGACTACAGATCTAAACAGGACTGCTCCACACGACGGACTAAACTCAGATTACATTAGATTTATGGAAGAGCAAGCAAAAGAAGTTGCCCACGTTTTAATGGAATAGGTTTGCTAAATAAACAAAAACTAAAGCAGGCAATTCTCATTTGGAATAAGCAAATATGTTTTTGCAAATCCTGTGTTTAGGCAGTCACAATGTATTTGAATCAAGGGTTCAAGGGGTTTAAGGTACTGTCTTTATTATCCAGCAGCAGAAAGACATACACATACATACACAGCAGCAGATAGACATACACATACATACACAGCAGCAGATAGACATACACATACATACACAGCAGCAGAAAGACATACACATACATACACAGCAGCAGATAGACATACACATACATACACAGCAGCAGATGGACATACACATACATACACAGCAGCAGAAAGACATACACATACATACACAGCAGCAGATAGACATACACATACATACACAGCAGCAGAAAGACATACACATACATACACAGCAGCAGATAGACATACACATACATACACAGCAGCAGAAAGACATACACATACATACACAGCAGCAGATAGACATGCACATACATACACAGCAGCAGATGGACATACACATACATACACAGCAGCAGATAGACATACACATACATACACAGCAGCAGAAAGACATACACATACATACACAGCAGCAGATGGACATACACATACATACACAGCAGCAGATAGACATACACATACATACACAGCAGCAGATAGACATGCACATACATACACAGCAGCAGATGGACATACACATACATACACAGCAGCAGATAGACATACACATACATACACAGCAGCAGATAGACATACACATACATACACAGCAGCAGATGGACATACACATACATACACAGCAGCAGATAGACATGCACATACATACACAGCAGCAGATAGACATGCACATACATACACAGCAGCAGATGGACATACACATACATACACAGCAGCAGATAGACATGCACATACATACACAGCAGCAGATGGACATACACATACATACACAGCAGCAGATAGACATGCACATACATACACAGCAGCAGATAGACATGCACATACATACACAGCAGCAGATGGACATACACATACATACACAGCAGCAGATAGACATGCACATACATACACAGCAGCAGATAGACATGCACATACATACACAGCAGCAGATGGACATACACATACATACACAGCAGCAGATAGACATGCACATACATACACAGCAGCAGATGGACATACACATACATACACAGCAGCAGATAGACATGCACATACATACACAGCAGCAGATAGACATGCACATACATACACAGCAGCAGATAGACATGCACATACATACACAGCAGCAGATAGACATACACATGTCATGTACACAAGGAAGCAATAAATACACAACAAGATTACCAGCAACAGGGAGAAAAGAGTTCTTAAATATAGTCAAAGTAGATATAATCTTCTTTTTCATGCACTTTAATTCCAGCTGAAATGATCAAAATGTTAAAAAGCTATAAAAATGAGAAAGTGTACCACCAATTGAGAACCAAGCACTGATTTTGTCTGTCAGCGCTTCACCCCTAGAGCATGAATGATTTACTTACTTAACTGCAAGAACAATGTGCCGTTAAAGACCTTTTGACACAGCTGCTTCTTAAAAATATCCAGAAACTTTCAGCAGTGCAAACAAAGCCAGTATAAAAGTCTAACCAAGATGCCTTAAAATACCCATTTCCTGCAGCTAGAAAAACCGATGCTCTTCGATCCATGCGAAACTTGGCATGAGCACCGTGAAATTAGATGTTTATTTTAGCTTTCCACACGACGCTGTCATATCTCCTCCACTGCTTTAAGAACTATAAGTACATATTCTGACTCCATGTGTGGCCATGTGAAGCAGAGGGGGGATATGACTGGGGGCAGAGGGGGAAAACCGGAGCAATTGAAAGTGAAAATCTATGAAGTAAACTTTAAAGAGTGATTTGTTTGTGCTTGGGGCCGCCGTGATGGACGGCTGTCCGTGGAAACAGTTCATTACAGTTTATGGATGAGAGAGGGAGCCGCGCTAAATCGATTCACCTGTCCGGACCAGCAGCTGCATCACCATGGACACCACCCTGCACCTGGGACCCACTGGTCTACGCAGGACAGAGGACCATCACAGCCAGATTATACAGGGGGCCGACCAAAGGCAAGGGCCCATCAGAATGAATGGGGAAATACAGGTATATGTATGTTAAATATGAAACTTTGGGACAAAACTACCCCACAAGTGATCTCATGTGTTGCCTGTGTGTTGTCCGATTGTGTATGTGTGTGTTGTTGCGTACTGTGTGGAATGTGTGAAGGGGGTTGAAATAAAAAAAAAAGCATTTACCTCATTCACCCCTTTTTTTGAACCATGTACTTATTTGTCTACTATCTTCATATATGTGGAAAATATGTGTTGTGCAGGGTCAAAATAAATATTCATGTGCTCCAGTAGCAGCCCTATCATTATTTTAAAATGTATTTTCTTTGTTAAATTAGACTGAAGTTAAAGGTATATTGGAGGACTTTCTACTTCCAGGTGGATAATCAAGACTATTGGTCCTCACTGGTGACACCTGCTCGCCCAATTAGACCAGAGAGTTCTGTTGAAAGAGTGGAGAGGGCGGTTCTTTGTTATAATTTGGAAAATTATAACAAATTATTATTATCCTAAAACTAAAAGTTAAGTGTTTTATTATTAATAGTAGTATTCAAAATATATCATATTTGATAGTTATTTATAATTGTGCCTTGTATTATTTTAGTTTTCTAGTTGTTGGCTGTCTCGATATGGATATGCTATTTTTTATTTACGCCATATTTTAAAGCATACTTTCTCTTTTGTGATTGAGTTGCATTAAAGATTGAGATTTAATTATACACAGTGCAATGTTATATTAAATTGTTATTTTTATGCATGTAGAAAGAACAGGTGGTTTTTTGTGGCAAAGACCAGAAAAAAATAAAGTGACCATAAACATCTAACAGAGGCTCACAAAAGTACAGTGGGAGGAAAACACGGTAATTCCATTTGAAGCGACATTAGGATGTATTATTTGTACGAGCAGGTCTCAGGTGGTACCGAGGGGTCAGCCGGGCTCCAACTCTGTGAGGGCAACACAGTTCAAACAATTACACACCTTTCCACGGAGCCATTTATTTTACCAACGAGAAGAAAGAGGACGTAAGAGACGGGTTGGAATCAGTGTGGGATTATCAAAGTCATCGGTCACTTCCTGCCTTTGGTTAAAATCCATAATATTGACTATTTCAACATATAACAAATAATAATAATGAGAATGACAGGTATTGATGAATGTTTTAATTTCATTTTTTTTTCACAGCAAGAAGGTCCCGGGTTCGAATCCCAGTCAGAACAGGGCCTTTCCTTGTGGAGTTAGCAGGATTTCACCTACGTCATTTTCCTCCAGGGGCTCCAGTTTCCCCTACAACTAATGCCATGTACACTCTCTCTGGGGTCAATAAATAATAAAATCCAGAAAAAGCCACAAAACATTTCTCAATTTGACTTGATTGGTCAATTATTCAGAAATAGATTCCTCAAAAATATTTTCAAGCAACAATACAAAATTAATCTTTCTCATTACCGTGCATATTGTGTCACAAGATATTTTTCACTGTTAGGTTAAACTAAATTTGTCCCCTCAAAGATGCTTACATATTTCATTCACTTGACATTTTATATCATACAAACTTGACGCCTTATGTGATAAGTGATTGATTGTCTGTACAAACTTGGATTAGATTAGAATTGGAACTCCAAATCTGAGCTCAAAACAAAACCGCAATCAATCCCATCGTTCAACCACATTACTCTTTTGAAATAAAACGAGAACACATCACTGCATAGCGAGCGGATGCAGACCCGTTCTATTTCGAGCCCGCCAGTTGCCAGAGTTTCTCCCAGTCCCCAGAGAGGAGGCTGTGATGCTTTGTCTGAGCACGAGTGGAGCAGAATGAGAAGCAGTCTCCTTGTCAGACTATTTTTGGACACCGGCACTTTGAGAGAGAGGTGTGTTAGCCTGAGCACGACGCCCTGTCTGAGGCTTGTCACAGCCCGTCTCTGCGTCTCTGCGGACCCTCGGCCTTGGTGCTGAAGCTCTCCCAGTAGGAAGGGTCCTCGTCTGTCAGGGGGGACGCCAGGCTTGTCAGCTCCGAGAAGGACAGCAGGGTGAAGGCGCGGGGCGGGGCGAGGGGCGCAGGTGAGGGCTGGAAAAACACCAGACGGTTGGGGGCATGAGTGTGGAGCTGATTTTTGAAAACAGAAGTGCAAGTGTCCCTTACCGGAGACCCTGGACCCAGAGCCACGGCGACATGGTGGTCCTCATCAAGCAGACACTCCTGGACAAACACAGCAATTTAGGTTTCTAAAAGGTTTTAAATCAAGGACATTTTTTATTTTATTCAAGGACAAGACAAATCAAGACAGACAAACCACAGAAAGACAAAGCAAGGGCAAAAGGGACAAAGACACAACAAATACAGACAATACAAAGAATTCGTCAGTCACACAGAAACTAAAAAAAGTCTAATAATGAGAATTTATTTCCAATGATGAAGGCAATAAGAATTTGATCCCACCATTTATGGCAATTTTCTTTTTCTGTTTTAACTGAGCATTCTTCTAAATTGTGATATTGCTCAACATAATGAATGAAGCTTGCAGCATTAGGACACTTTCTATACATTAGTTTTTTATTTCTTTATTTCGTTTATAGATTTTAGTGGCCCTCTTTCTCCATCTGTAATGTTTCAGGATTCCACCTTTTCTGTTTCACATCACATTTTTGAACCCCCCTCGAAAAGAAAACAAGTAACAACTGGACTTCCACCACAGCGCCCTTACAAATCAGCTGCATCAGCTGTTCCAACTTCAACACCGACAATTCGCCTCATGCCGGTCTCTCTCACGCAGCGAACAGAAATGACCCCTATATCGCTGTAATAACCACCATCACTGTACAGCTGGCCCCCAGAAGCTTAGAACACACCACGAAGGAGAAATATCTAACTCGTGCAGTGAATGATTGCCTCTGAAGTCGAGTAAACTAAAAGAATATCCCGCAATATTTTTGGCTATCAAAAATGATAATGAGAATATTTAATTTGTCCTTTCATGTTTTAGAATGTTTATAAATATCTCAATATTTATGGTGAAATGAGAATGAAGGGTAAAAAATGCTTCCCACCTGTAACTCCCTATGCTACCACCAGAGGGAGAAGCTGAATTGTGAAGTCTGTCATTTCGCCTAAGAAATTGTCAAAACAAATTTATGGCCGATACATTTGTTTTAAAAGACACAGGAGCTTTTTAAACAGAAGGAGCAAAGTTACACCAGAAGGGTGGATCTAAAAACAACTCCGGGTCTGTTTTTGATGATGGAACAATGTTGTAACGCGGTTAAAAGCTCAAAACACAGTCAGTTTGCATCGAGTGTTCCAGTACAAAGTCATGTGTATAGTACGCCAAAGGAGAAGTGTGTAAAGACTGACCCTCCTCTTGTAGTCGCCCTTGTTCTGTGGCAGACAGACTTGGGGAAGTGGAGACGAAAAAGGATAATCTATATGAACAGATCAAAGGCAGGAGTGGCGCCGAGATGGCCGAGGAGAGGAGCATGAAAAGGGAACGGAGGAGCGCGGCGGCTGATTCTAGAGGTGTGCGGACAGAGAGCCGCACACCTCTAATGGAGGGCCACTTCAGGCGGGCTCCCATCAGGATCTCCTGGGCGGATGTCTCCCAATGGCCTCCTGTGAGTCATTCCGCTTTCCCAAGGGCCAGCCGCCGCGAGTGCACTGATCCGGGGAGGAGCACAAGCCACTTCGAACTAAAGTTTCCCGAAATAGTCTTGCGAATAGAATGTTGCTAAACCTTGTTGTGTGGCTACGAAGCTTCGGTCATGATATGGTGTACAAGGATAGCAAGGAAATGGTCATACCGTATTAAGCTCAATAGAGATTTTATACTGCTTCTTTTTATTAGCATTGCAGATTTTATATATTTCAGTATAGAGTTCTTAATCATTTATCTCATGTTGTGTGCTCCTCATTCCTACTGTCCGTAACTTGTGTTTTATGTGATCATTGTATTGGGGTAAAATATCCAAATGTGCAGAATGGCTACTGAAAGCTGGAGTGCATATAACTGAAGCCATCAAAACATAGCTCATAACTGGTTCTATCACTAGTTTGGTCTCTCTCACATCTTTACACCAACTTTTGCAGTGAACAGGAGAGTGCCAGCCATCACACAGGCAATCAGCTAAAATGTTTTATAATGCGATACGGACAGCATGTCGTGGTCTGATTTGTTCACTAATCAAGACTCTTGGGACAAACACAAATGTGTTTATGATACAAAAAGTGCCGCAGCTTTAGGTTTTTACTGGAACTTTAAGCACATTTGAAGTGAAGAATAAGCCGCTTTTTTTCTTTTCCTCTAAATCCGGCAGAAGGACATGGCGCAGACTTCCCAGGAGACCAGTGACTTTTTGAGATTATTCCATTGTTTCCAGGCTTTAGTCCTTCATGCGTGTCCACTTTGTAAAGCTCGACACCAGAATGTCCTTCTTAAAACTACAAAACATGGCCTTCAGCAGTGGATCTTATCTTCGGGAACTCCTCATTCGGACCTCTGGGGATAGCACATTTTCGCACATTACCTCGAACAGCCAGTCGCCCTGCTCCTCCTCGTCCAGGTGCATTGTGGTTAGACTCGCTGGCGGGTCCTGTGTGAGTGGTTCAGATGATAAATGAAACTCCACCCGCTGCAGGTTGAATCCCAGCCCGGTTCCGATGGCTTTAATGAAGCTCTCCTTGAGGGCCTATGTGGAACAGGAGACAATTACATAATGAAATATAAGATTAGGCCTAAATACAGAGAATGGAGATGGTCGGCTGAACATATTTCACACAAATGAGTGATTATACAAAAGTAGAGCAGATGGGAAAACATGTCAGACAGTGGATACACAAAGAGGATAAAGGTGTTTGTGTGCGTGTGTGACTGGCAAAAACTGACTCAGCCAATGGACAACAATAACTGTATTACAAGCCTAATCGCCATGGCAACCGTTGCGTTCTTCCATTAGTCAACGGTGCGATGATGAGATCAGAGTGTGACGTCTCTGCGCCGCTCACTGTCACAGCAGCCACACTTAATTACCGCTCTGAAGAAATTGGGGTGAACAAAAGCTTTTTAAAGTCATGTAATTCTAGAGAGACCTGTTTTTTCCCTTTTAGACTACCACATGCGGGGCACAGCCGAGCAGTCGCGCAGTGTGACTACAGGCTACTGTGGTTGCCTTGGTTACCCAGTGTCGGTAGAAAGAGGCGAGCTGCTGGTGTTCTGAGCCGGCTGATTGGATGACGCTCCACTCGTACGGGGTAAACTGACGAGTCATGATGCGGAAAAACTCCGGCACAGAGCTGCTGCCTGCAACAACCACAGGACATAAAAATGCAAAAAAAAAATACAACCGTTTGACGTAAAAATTATTTTCAAGTCAAGAAAATATAACGTTACAATAAGATTTAAAGAGCGGCGTCTCAAATAGCTCCTCAGAATAATTAATTTGCTCAGATTTAGAACGTCACCCACATAGAAAAATACCAACAGCAGCAAAACTGTGCCATCCAACAGGCCATCATTTCATAAGACAAGACTGACATCATGTGGACAATAACGGTATTACAAGTTTAAAAAGGGCAAGTAATTCCATAGTAATGATTACCAGGCATCACGGTCTTCATGATGTCAACCCCGACCTGGCACCCCTGCTGTGCTGCGAGCACTGCAAAGTCTCCTTGATGTGACAAGTTAAAACTCCAGGTGGGGGACACAGGGCCGTCCTGGACAAAAGAATAAAAGCAACACAAACTTTAGAGACAAGACTTATTTCATGTTGGCTTTCTCTCTATAGACAGAACATGGCTTGGACATCCAGGTGTTGTAACGGATAAATCAAAGAGTAATAAACTAGTTATAAAAGAAAATCAAGCTAACAAATGTGCATATACAAGTAACAATAAAAATAATAATAAAATGCTACATAAAACATATTATTTCATACAACGTTGAAATAATATGTCTCCCTAAAAACCTTCAAACAAGGTCAGAAATCTAGGGGTAATACTGGACTCAGACTTAAATTTTAATAGCCACATCAAATCAGTAACATCAGCAGCTTTTTACCATCTAAAAAACATTTCCAGGATCAAAAACATAGTGTCTAAAGCAGACTTGGAGATTCTTATCCATGCATTTGTCTCCAGTAGGTTAGACTACTGCAATGGCCTGCTCACAGGTCTGTCCAAACAGGCTGTAAAACAGCTGCAGTACATTCAAAATGCAGCAGCTCGAGTCCTGACTAGAACCAGGAAGTACGACCACATTAGTCCTGACTAGAACCAGGAAGTACGACCACATTAGTCCTGACTAGAACCAGGAAGTACGACCACATTAGTCCTGACTAGAACCAGGAAGTACGACCACATTAGTCCTGACTAGAACCAGGAAGTACGACCACATTAGTCCTGACTAGAACCAGGAAGTACGACCACATTAGTCCTGACTAGAACCAGGAAGTACGACCACATTAGTCCTGACTAGAACCAGGAAGTACGACCACATTAGTCCTGACTAGAACCAGGAAGTACGACCACATTAGTCCTGACTAGAACCAGGAAGTACGACCACATTAGTCCAGTCCTCAGGTCTCTGCACTGGCTTCCTGTGGCTCAGAGAATAGACTTTAAAACAGCTCTGCTTGTTACAAGTCTCTCCATGGCCTCGCACCAAAATATATTAGTGACATGTTAGTCCCATATGAACCAGCCCGGACTCTGAGGAGCACAGGGACTGGCCTTCTGCTGGGACTCTGAGGAGCACAGGGACTGGCCTCCTGCTGGGACTCTGAGGAGCACAGGGACTGGCCTCCTGCTGGGACTCTGAGGAGCACAGGGACTGGACTCCTGCTGGGACTCTGAGGAGCACAGGGACTGGACTCCTGCTGGGACTCTGAGGAGCACAGGGACTGGCCTCCTGCTGGGACTCTGCGGAGCACAGGGACTGGACTCCTGCTGGGACTCTGCGGAGCACAGGGACTGGACTCCTGCTGGGACTCTGAGGAGCACAGGGACTGGCCTCCTGCTGGGACTCTGAGGAGCACAGGGACTGGACTCCTGCTGGGACTCTGAGGAGCACAGGGACTGGACTCCTGTTAGTGTCCAGAGTCAGAACTAAACATGGGGAGACTGCTTTTCAGATTCATGCTGCTAAAATCTGGAACAGTCTTCCTGAGGATGTGAGACAGGCCTCCTCTCTGACAATGTTTAAAACCAGGTTAAAGACAGTTCTGTTTAGCTGTGCTACAACTGAGGGATTTTATATTTTTATCTTTCTATTTAATGTTCTGTGATTATTTATGATTTTAATGCTATCTTATTTTGTTCAGCACTTTGAATTGCCTTGTGTATGAATATAAATAAACTTGCCTTTCCTTACACTTTGTGTGCAAAGTAAGTAACATGCATTAAGTAGAAGTAGTAAGTCCTGTTGTAGTGTTTGAATAAATGAGAAGATAGTTTACTTGTGGTTGTGTTGGGAGATAAGGCTTTCCTCTTGGAGAGCGCTCCAGTCTGAAGTGGGACCAGGGTAGTGTCATCTTCTCACAAACAAACTTCCTGAGCAGCAACCTGCCGGCCTGAAACACACCGCACAGCATCAATACATCAGCTGTCCCACACTGAAGGATTTTAATGGACCAACACACTAAGGATATCGACAGAAACTCAAATCTGTATTTTTCTTAAATATTGTTCAGAAGGGGTATCTAACTTTTCTTATTTGAAGAAAACTTTTGCATACTTTGCCCCGACTTTGGGCTGACAGCTGGTTGGCTGAGGGAGGGGGGTCATCCCCTTTTCACTTTTGTCTGAAAATAAATAAACGAATGATGTGGCAGAATCCGTGTGGAAATCAGTGATATACCAAAGTAGTGTCAAGTTAGATGGATAGTAGTTACATTATTGTCATTTGTGGCCATCTTTAAGTGCAAAAATATGTGCAACACTATGGCAACATTTTATTCTTATTGCAAAATATCTGCAATAAGAATAAAAAGATGCTAGAAAGTGACTAAAATTGGTCACATTATGATACTTTATGACACAAAACAGTTTCTAACTTTACATTACAGCACCTAAACTTTACTAAAGGTGTATGTCAACAGTGTCCACAGTCTGGGTGAACTAACCATGGCGGACTTGGCATCTTTGGTGAATACAAACTGGCCGATCCTGTCCTTCTCTTCGGGCTGGATGCATCGAGCAGCAAAGAGCCACTCAGCCCGGGTCGGTGTCCAGGAGCCACAGCGGAAAGCCCAGCGCACGGAGCCCATGTGCCCTCAGCTCTCCTCACCTGCGCTCATGTTGTCACAGCGGAGACCCTTCCTGTACGTTAAACGATGTAATACTACAATAATAATGCAGTGCGCTCGTCTCTGCTCGCCGCGTGAGTCTGCGGTGTACCGTCAATATGACTGTTATCATAACATGCCCGTGTCATTGTCAGACATGTGTGATTGAGGCGGACAAACCCGGAAGAGCGTCAGCCTGCGTCACCGTGGGCGCGGTGCTGGATCCACCAATCACAGTGATTCTAGTAGTGCGACACTCATGATGCCTTCAAGTACTCCCATTGAAGTAGGATTATATACTATTATTCTACAACTGTACTATTGAGAGAACTGATTCGACGAAAGATCAGAGAGAACGCATAAAAACCCTATAAATGCTTTGTTTTTGTATTCTAGAAGTGGTATATAACAAACAGTGCGTATTTACATATTTATGTGTTGATTCAATTTTAAAAATACCATACAACATTCGGAAAGCTAAATATTCCCTGGTACCAAAAGAGGCGGCATTGAGATTGCCTTGCTACTACGATGTTTTGATTGCGGTAAACCTACGGTGAGTGAGGTGAGTGCTTTCACGCCTGCATTTTTCTCTGTCATTTCTCACACCAAAAAAAAAAAAAAACACCATACCTTCACCTGCAAATAACAGCCACATGCAATTAACACGATAGTCGATTTCTTGTCGTGGATAAACAGGGATACACGAAGAAGATTCGATCGCATCTTTAACCGTGTTGTAATAACATCATTTCCTTTTCACGGCACCAAGTACACGTTGGTCTGAAGATATTATAGTAATGCATAAAGCATGTTTCTCATTGATTCACTCTACTACACACAAATGTCATTTCTCAATTGGATGCGATGTGTGCCACTTCTAATTATGATTATTCCCCCCTCAGATTATTCTGCCTTTCCACCCGTGCCTAATGTCACATCTGCCTGCAATAGCCATTTTGAACACATTCCTTCACACAAGCAGTGGTTTCATGTGGCCTGCATGACTTCTTTGGGCTTTTCCTCCTTGGTGATTAACAAACACAATCTTACCTCGAAATCCACCACTGGCTTGTGAGCACCATTTGCTGCCGCCTCATTCTCCTACCTGGAACTGGCTCTTTGCTGCCAAGCTGGATTTCCTGCAAGTTAAGCATCTTAAAAGAAAGAGAAAAAGTAATTACAGTGTGAGAGAGACACAGACTCTCATCCGAGAAATCCACAAGAGGAGCAATGTCCTGTTTTCCAGACAGCAGGTAAACCACACACAAACAGTATAATATCATATAATATAATCATGCAGCCCATAATAAAGAGATGTTATGTCCCCTTGTATTGTGTGTGCCAAAAGAACACCGCCATCAATGAGCTGAAGAGACAGGCATGGGAGGAGGTTGCCCGAGGAGTCAACTCACTTGGTGAAGGAGAGCTCCGAACTGCAGCTGAAGTGAGTGCTACAATATACCACTGTGCATGTGTTGTAAGTAAATAATTATATTTCAGCTTTAATGTATAGCGCCTTCCACAGTCAGTCACAAAGCACTTTTCTAATTGTTGTAGACATTTTAGTTCACTCCACATACTTGGATCTAAAGCAGGATCACCTGACACAGGAGGCACAGATTTCATTCACACCTATTACACATGTGTACGTAATAGGTAATTGTTGACTGTTAGGCCAATAATGTTTTTAGCCTAAAACTGTAATAGTTAGTTCTGCATAGTTAAAAATTTAGAATAAATTAAATGACAACCGTGTTTTCTTCAGACCCTTAAAGTGAGGTATGATATGCCATTGTAGCCATCCATATAAACTTATTACCATTAATAAATCCATCCATCCATCCATTTTCTACCCTTTAATCCATTTCTGGGTCAGGGGGGTGGCAGTCAGAGATGCCACCCAAGTCTCATAGCACCAGCCCCTCACTGACCCTCTGCAGGTGGTGAGTCCACAGGAGGACGGCTGCTCTCTGAGTGTGAGCATAGCCTTGATCTTTCAGTGGGAGCTTTGGGCAAAGTGGGGTTAAGTGTCTTGCCCAAGGACACAACGACAGCAGTCATCAGTGGGAGTCGGTGGAGAAGGTGCAGAGGTGGGAATTGAACCCACGACCTTCTGGGCTTAAGGCCAATGCTCTACCAACTGAGCTACTGTCGCCCTTAATGCCATAAAGTTGACTTACTTACTTACATGTGTTATGTTTCCCCTTCCACTAAAAACATTGCAAACCGTAGCACCCAGAGGACTCCTACACTGACACAGGGAAAACTTACTAACACCTAAAGCCCCATCGGGCTCTGGAAGCGAGCGTTTACCACTGCCCCACTGTGATGCCCCAACATAATTACATATGCATTTCCATTGGATGGGTTAGGTCAAATGGGGACCACATATTTCCCTATGGGGAATATAAAGTGTAACATATCCTGAGCCTAATCACATTAGTTATTCCACTATTAGCTTCAACATAGTGTCCACAAGTAAGTAAGTAAAACATTATTATTATTTCACAGATGCAAATCACAAAGTGCTTTTCAGAGTGCAATAAAAAGAAGAGGGGATCCATCTTGACGTTCAACCAAAAGCCAGTCCAGACAAAAATGCCTGAGCTGCTTTTTTAAAGAATTATGTGTGTTTGTCCCAGGGCAGTGTGTTCCAGAGCGTAGGGAGGGTATGTCCTTCTTCATACTTCTCTTCACCTGTTTTCTCTTTTTTTTGCTTCAGGTAAAGCGGCGTTATCTGGACTGGCGTTCCCTGATGAAACGGAAACAGCTCCAGGCCGAACTGTCCCTGTCCTCCTCCTCTTCCTCCTCGCTCACACTGAAGTCTGAATATGAAGCATCTTCTCCAGAGGCTGCGTCCCTCACCTCGTCCTGGGACCAGCTGTTGGACCTGTCTGCACTGCCCAAAGACACCCACTGCGACTGGTCAGAGCTCAGCCTGGGGGATCAGGGCGGCCAGGCCATGATAGCACCTCTGGGTGTCAAGATGGAAGAGGACGTCTGTGAATACAGGGTACGTAGTGTTTTCAAGAGAGAGTGAATATGTGCAACATGGGACATCTTTCAAATCTTCGTTTGAAATGGTGCCTTGTACACTGATTTGTGTGTGTGTGTGTGTGTGTGCGTGTGTGTGTGCGTGTGCGTGTGCGTGTGTGTGTGCGTGTGCGTGTGCGTGTGTGTGTGTGTGTGTGTGTGTGTGTTTGTTTGTTCCAAGAGCAAACTTTGAAACAAAGTTGTGCAATCCTCCTATTTCCATCTCCTCATCCTCCTCTGCCTCTTTAATCCTGGTTTAGACCTTTTGTCTCTGGTATTTTCTTTTTGATTCTTGAACTTGACACCTACTCCCTTCCTTCGAATATAATTCCTGAAATCGAACCTAAGAAAATAACAATTCAAATCTTTCATGCATTTACAATGGAATACTGTCCCTTTGGGACTAGATTAATATTTGTGTTAAAAGTACATGGTTATAGATACTAACGTAAATGTGCCTCTATGTTATTATATGAATGCGTCCTTAGCTCAGAACTGAAATGTTTATGTCATTCTACGTACTTCACTGGTGTCTTGTATTGTAGGTTACCACGCCCCAGGAGCTATCACACCCACAGAACCAATATTGTTTAAATCTCTACTTTCTACAGTTATAACTATGTTTCAATATTAAATTGAACATACTGTAAACTGTATTGTAAATACAATTTATGAATCCACAGTTAACTGTCCCATTTGACCCATATCCACCCCACAAACCTCATCTCTTGACTAAACATTAAAGATTGCATGCATGAGGGTAAACAATGATTAACTGTATTTCCTTTCACCCTGCTCGCTTATTAGACAAAGGCCAATGTGATAATGACTTTAATGAACGTCTGAAGGGCCAGTGATGAAAGAGACATCGATACTGATTATGCTCCTGCATTATGGAGCCTAAGGGCCATTATTATTCACTCTTTTGATTAGGTCCTTCTGATTGGTGTTATTGTGTTATAAGTATCTAAATATCTAATCTAAAACAGCAGCAGCTTTGGAAAACACAGCGGCCAAGTCGTTAGCACTCTTGCCTCACAGACAGAAGCTCCTGGGTTTCTGAGTGGATTTTGCGTGTTTTCCTCATGTCTGCAAAGGTTTCTTCTGGTGGTTTTGGTTTCCTCCACTACTAATATACTTACAGCCACTGCCAGAGGCTCCTACCTGCTGGGGCTCCCCTGAAATCTCTGCGGCACTATAATAATTTGCGAGTTCAATTCCCATGATAGTCAGTGTCTGGGTGGGTTTCCTCCGGGCGCTGTGGGTTTCCCCTACCACCCATCAGCACGCACATTCACACAATAGGTAATCCTCCAGCTCCAGTCTCCTGACCAAGAACATCAACATCTGGAGATGGGTCCCTGGGTACTGCACTGAGAGAAGTCAGATGGGTCAAATGCAGAGGACAGATTTCCCTATGGGGATAATACAAGTTTACATTACCAAAATAAGGTGAAGAGATAACATGTGTGGTTTACAAATGTAGAAGACAGAATGGTTTCTGCCAACACCTGTATATTCCTGTTGGCCCAGTAGATGGAGTCCTGACTGCATCACATGAACTGCATTGTTGCAGAAAAGCCTCTTGAAAAAATATGATTGCTGTTTTAAAATATACAGTATGACTGTTGACCTTTGTAAATATGAAATAAGGAGACTGATGCTCTACTCTGTATATTTATTTATCATCATACAAATATGTAGTATGCTGTTATTCCTTGCTAATGCAGAAGGGTCTAAGGACAGTGGTGATGCATTTTTTATCATTGCATTTCCTGTGTTTGAACTGTTTGATTCTCTAATCTGTGTTGGCAAATCAACACTGATCAGAGAATGTTCGTAAAGTCCTCTAAAATAACTACTGTTGTGATTAACGGCTATAGAAAAAAATGGAATTGAACTACTCTACAACCTAGAAAACTGTAACAGTAACTAAAAACTTTAAACTTTGTCTCTGTGTCTTCAGCTGGACTGCGAGGGGGACGTGGGCGACGGGGAGATAGACGATGACGACATCCCCTCCCTGCTCAGCGATATGGAGTCTCGTGGAGAGGGTCACTCTGCTGAAATCTACTCCAGCAGTGACCAGGGCCTCCTCAGCTCCTCCAAGGGCCCCACCTCAACTACCTCCACGAACCGGGACGTGACCCTCAACAGCCTGCTGGGGTACGCCCTGCCCGGGAACGCCCTGAGCGACAGCATGGAGCCTGGCGGGATCTTGGTGGCGGTGGAGAAGCAGAGGCTGGAGGTGGAAAAGCAGCGTTTGGCCATCGAGTCCGAGCGCCTGGCGGTGGAGAAGGAGCGTCTGGTGGTGGAGAAGGAACGCCTCCGTCAAAGCAAAACCGAACAAGAGAGGCTGCAGCTGGAGAAGGAGAGGCTGCATGTGGAGAGGGAGAGACTCAGGCTGATGCTCATCAACCAATCAGAGCACGTCGACTCGTCCCTCAGCCTGCCGCCGCAACAGGGCCCGCCCACATCCTCCACATCCTCCAATCCGGACGGGCCGCTCGGGGAGGGGAAAGAGGGCAGAGGCTGGCTGTCGCTGGTGGATCTGGAGGCGGAGAGGATGAGGCTGGACCAGGAGCGGCTTCAGCTGGAAAAGGAGAGACTGCAGTTCTTCAAGTTCGAGTCGCGGAGACTGCAGATCGAGAGAGAGCGCCTCCATGTGGAGAAGGAGAGAATGCAGCTACATATAGACCACCAGAACCACTGACCGAAGGATAAGCTATCGGGACTCTCTAAAATCCTGGTTTTTTTCGTCCTGTTGCAAGCTAACCGATAACTTACTTCTGTAACTCATGTTTTTCAGAGTTGTTTGATATCTAGAGGCGCCTTTGGTCTCTGTCACCCAGCTGCCTAAGCATCTCCAGGGCCACCAGACCAGGCTCATTAAAGTCACATGTAATACAGAGGGTTTTTAACAGTGCCACATATTCACATTTAGTGGCCCCCTTTGAGGCCCATACAAGCCTTTGACTTACCATCTTACCATTTTCCAACCTTACCCACAACCGATTAACTGCTATTAACCATAGACCTCTATTAGGAGTGGACTGACCAAGCGTTGACGTCATACTGTTAGCCTTAATGCGGATAAGGTTAATTAAAGCTAGCTCGAAGAGGCTATTCGAGCAAGAATGTGGAGGCAATTGTATGAGAATGTTGTTGGTAGCATTCGGACGAGTTTACAAAGCCAGTCTGGTCCCGCTCACGCCAATCATGAACTGAAGCTGAATTCGGCAATAGAGGGTTCTTGATTGGTCAGTTGTTTTGGCTCTTATCTGGGTTTACTTTATCATTTACATTATTGCAATTTAAACACCAGGATCATGTTAGGATCATGTTCAGCTAGCAGAGTTTACCTTTCAATGTAGTCAATTGGTGCTTGACTGAGTTGGAGCAAACTTTCCAAGAGCACTTCCCTATTGGGCTTCATTGAGCTAGCGGGTTAGCATTGTCCATGCCGTCTTATGTTTCTAGTCATAACATGATTGTGACTCTTTAATTGAAAATCAGAGTACAGAAACAGCAACAAAATGTGAATATTTACCTCAGCCCGGACGAAATACCAAGATGTTATTGAGTTCCATACACTATGAGAGCTTGAAGTCATTAGCAACATGCACAGAGTTCATTAGCATTGGACATCGCCAGTCCATGGTGTTGCAGGCTATATTGTTTTTATGATATGATTTGGTGATAGATAATATTGTGTGATTTAATGCATGTTTTGAGACGCTTTTGAAATGGATCGGTGCATTTTCACTACCATTCCATTCCGTTCATCACTGCACTGCAGGGACTTATCTCTGCCAACATTCAGAGAGTTATTTTCATGGGAGTTTACAAAATGTTATGATTACATTTGTTAAAAAAAGAACAGAAAAGTAGAGTGTGTGGAAATAAACTCAGAGCACTTAAAAAGAGTTTTTATGATGAGCCTGAAAAGTTGGAAAGATAGAGAACGTATCTATTGTAATTTATATACTGCAGCTCTGACCAAAACAAAGAGCAGAGGACATTATTTATCATTAGGGGTGCAACGGTTTGAAAAAATCACGGTTCGGTTCGTACCTCGGTTCAGAGGCCACGGTTCGGTTCATTTTTCGGTTCATTTTTCTAAAAAAAAGTGGTGTCTTTTTAATAAACACAGCTCATGTGGACTCGGCACCTGCTCTGACTGCCCCCACCTGCCCTAGAAATGAATTAAGAGGAAGGAAATGGATGGATGGATGGAAGGCATATTCCATCCATCCAATTATGTCTATTTAACATAATTAATGAAAAACAACACAAAGTGCAACATAAGAAGGCACTTTATGAGGATATTTACCCTCATATATTACACCACCTTCCTGATTCTCCCAAGGAGGGGGTCCATTCTGGGCCCAGCCTCATTCACTGCATTTATTTAATTTTTGGCATTATCAGTTGTGACTGGGATATTAGTACTGGGCCTTTGTCTTCCATTCCTCCGCTGCTTGTGTCAGTACCTGCGCTGTGTGACAGTGTGACTGTGTGACTGTCGTAGAGGGGGCGTGTCTGCAGCGCCAGACTTTTCATCTCCCAGTCTGCGGTGATGAACTGAGCGGTTCCGCTCATGGATCTATTATAGGTTCCGCGGGACGTCCAAGCGTCAGTCGTGAGCGCAGCTGAGGATGCGCGGGAGAGTTGACTTTAGCCCGGTCTGACTGTGCGTAAAGGAGCTGCTTAAATGCCGCGACAATAGGTGGTCGTTGAGACGCTTTTTTCACTCATGTCTTTCTTGTGCCACAGTGCTTACACATCGTGACAGTTTTGTCGAATATTAATTATCAGTGTAGTTACAGTGAAGACAAAATGCTCTCATACTGGGGATTTAAATGACGCAGGGCTTTCAAGCTCCTCCGTTCCTCCGCTCGCAATGACCGCGCTGTGTGTGGACTGAACAACGTGCGCACAACTTTTTTTTCATAAATCAAACCGCGGATCACGTCTGTACCGAACCGAAGACGTTGAACCGAACGGATCACGGATCAGTGATGAACCGTTGCACCTCTATTTATCATAGTGGCCGAAAAGAGCCATAGTACATTATTTATGAACGATTAATGTTGCATATCTAATTGCATTCACTCCATTACAAAGGAAGCTCTATTTTGTCAATTACTCTATATGAAAGCACACCCCGAAGAGTTTAAAGGAGTATTATGGGGAGTTATGGATAGATTATATTGTGCTCTGTTGTTTGCCTTTGTGTCCAGTGTTTACACGAGTGGTCCAGTCTGTAAATGTTTTATTGTCAAAGTGAAATGAATTTGATGTAATACTTTATGACAATGATGTGATGGGGAGCATGCCAGACATTACTAAATGGATATATGCAGCTAATGTTTTGAATTTATTTTTGCTTTTTAAAATATTGTATGTGTGCTTGAATGTTGAATCTGTGTGAACGTGTGTGTGTTCGAATGTGTGAGTGTTGAAATTTATATGTTGTAGAACAGAAAAGTTTGTTATGTTTTGGATTTTTCGAATAAAATGTGACTTTCACACATTCCCAGAGTGGATTTTTTAGGAGAAATAATATTGGCTGAATGTGAAGTTTTCAGCAATTGGAATAACGAGCTGTCTCCAGAGGTCCAATGATATATGTTTTATGATCTGTTTAAATCATTGACAAAAGAAATATGTTTTTGTTCTTCCTCATACAATTTGAATAATGTTAGACTGTGAAGAAGTCCTACTTTTTAGAATCAAATATCATAAAACGGTGCGATGTTTGAAGCCTGTCTGCTCTGTTACATCATCTCAGCGCAGCGTCAAGCAGCTCATGAAGACTTATGTTTCTTTCCCTCGCCTGTTATGGAAGCGAAGGACCCCCTGCAAGCACGCCAATGAGGGCCCCGCATTCCCCGACTGGATTTGGCCTGCAGGGTTCCCCCAAAACCACAAACAGCAGCCCAGTTTCAGCCCGATTAAGACACGATGGACCCAGGTGGACTCCATCAAAGACATTGAGGTGGGTATCTTATCTGCGGCCCTTACTCAATCCAATTCAGCTTATTTTTGTACAGCGCCACATAACAGCAGTCGTATGGGATTAGTTTACCGAGTCGTGGATATGCCAACGACAGATCAGAGAATCAAACAGGAAATGCAATGATAAGAGCCATGGGTCCATAGATCTTAAATGTTAATATACTGTATGTCTAAAATGACGTTTGAGCCTCCTGCATCTGAAAGGAACAACTAAAAACAAAATAACTGACTAAAAATAACAAGCTGCCCATGATGAGCCCGTGTTACCCATTTGGCCAATGTTGCTTAGCATAAGCTGTTAATGCTAAAATTCTATTGAAAACAAGATGTGGTTATGAAAATGATATACCGCCAGGTTTGATCATGCAAATTAAGTTCTTGGAGTGCATAACCTTTTTGCAGAAATATTACAAGTTGTGAGTCCCAGCAGAAGACTTGTGAAACCAAATTGTTTTGAGAAAATCAAAGTATATCTATTGCATACTTAAGCTAAGCATAAGCTAAGAAAGAGCCATGTGAGTCACACTTTGACGCTTTAGGCTGAGAGCTCATTGGCTGAGTGAAGGTGGTCCTCTGTTTTTCTGAACAAGCTTATCTAAAGATGTGACCAGGCCAAAAGTTACAAATTTGAGTACCCTTAATTGGGACGAAATTTAATTGGAGATAATAATATAGACCAAACAGTATATATGAAAAAAAGGCTTACAACAAGTTTTTTAATACAAATGATTTTTTTTAAATACATTTTCTTGTTATAATTCCAATGGAGTTTTGAATGCGGAGGCTCCATGGGTACCCTGTCTGCATCTGACATCATTTACACATAAAGACTCAAGGTTAAAAAGGGATTCTTCAGATTTATCATTTAGCTCGGGCTTTGGGGAAATTCTTGTCAGTAATAACTCAGCGGGGTGGATAAGAGCGTGTGTGTGTGTGTGTGTGTGTGTGTGTGGTTGTGTGAGAGAGGAAACATGGCAAATCCATGTGATGTGGTTCTCTGCCGTAGAAGCGTGAGGTCTCGGTGGACTGGAGACAGCAGCTCAAATGATCCGTCACAAAGGGGGATTTAACTCTGTAATTGCTGGTTAAGTTCAAGTGAATTGTCCCAGTTTGTGAGTGCAGCAGAGAGCATCAAAAGACTTAAGAACTGTGTGTTAAAATAGACTAAAGTATAATCGTCCCATGCGGTACAGTAGTGCAGTTTAATCATGGGTTATGCACTATACCGTTCAAATGATATATTTATCTTCACATATTTAGGAATGAGAATAATTTAGATATGGTAAAGGAAGATGAAAATGACCTCTTTTCCCAATGTCAGAGTAACTGTCTCATCTGCAAGTTATGTATTTGCAATTTATTTATTAAGTCCCGTCACAAATGTACAGATTTTGATGTGATTGCACTGTTTTTTTCTGTTTTCTTGTGTCATGTTAAATGTCATGCCAGAATAAGACCTCCAGGTACATGTGTGTGAGTGAGGTGATTTACGCCAATATCTTTCTTTCCGGTTTCACCTTCGCGCACAAAGAATAGCACCTGCGGGGAGGAAACATTCATCTTTCTGCCAAGATGGGAGAAGGACTCTTTACTCCAGCGATGGGCTTAGGGCCATAGAAAGACTTTGGCCTATGGTCCCTCTAACCTATGACAAGATTGGAAATCCTAAGCCTGGCCTGCTGAGAGCTGGAC